CTTGATAAAATGACCAGCTTTTCCCACAGAAGGCGGATAATTAAGCAAACAGGCTAGTTACAAGAAACCTCTGTCCCAGGATGCTGGCTTATTTTTATCAGTTTCCCAGTGATCAGATGCAGAGTTATTGCAGGCGGGAGGAGGAGATACCTGACACTTGAAAGGCTGAGGGACTTGGGTCTTCTTAGTCTGGAGAAGAGAAGACTGAGGGGGGGATCTTATCACTGCTTATAAATACTTAAAGGGAGGGCACCAGGTGGATGGGAACAGTCTGTTTTCAGTGGTGCCCAGTGATAGGACAAGAGGGAACAGGCACAAACTTGACCATGGGAAGTTCCATCTCAACCTGAGGAGGGACTTCTTTACTGTGAGGCTGGCTGCCTCAGCCACAGGGTACCAACTGTATGAAATAAGCCACCTGCAGGACAGTGTGCCTGGTTTGGCTTCAGTTCAAATCCACTGCATAGTTACAATTCAGAATAAGAGAACTGAGGCCAAGGCAGGTTGGTCGCACCTATAACACCTTGCTAAATTCCTGCCTGGAGACTCCACAGGAAGCAATTCCCTCCTTTTTTGGAAGGCTGTTTATCAGCAGGAGAAATGACGGACCTTCTTCAAACCGCGTTGTGTTGAGAGAGATCTTCCCTCTTACGCTGTCTCTGCTGTAGCTTTTATGGGGCCAGCTCAGATTATAAGAATCCAAGGAGTTTCTCCCCCCCTGCCAAAATGCTACCTAGAACGAATGTTTAATTCCTTCTTGTAGTAAACTGGCTGCAGGTAAGTGCCCATCATTGTCTTCAGCAGTGCTTTTCTTAGGGCTGGCTACTTTGTAATTAGCTATTAATTACTGCCAAGTAGAACTGTTCCTTGCTAGATGACTTAGTCCTGTACATACGGAGTGACTTCACTGCCTTCGGCTGTTAGCTTAAGGCAGTAGATAGGCTCTGCTAACAGGCCCTGCTATTATACAGAAATGGCTTAGGATTCAATCCTCACAAAAGCCTCCCTGGCACATAGTGTGGCCTCTTTGGTTGATAAATACCGCTCTGGACTTTGACAGCAGAAACAAGTGCGTGGCCAGCTGGGCTCTGGGGCCTTTCCCCCCCCCCCTTTTTTCCTACTGAACACTGATAATTCAGAAGTCAGAAAGGTGCCTGTGGAAAACTACTCACTTGAATGCTCTCTGACACAAAGAAACAGGAAAACCTGAAGGAATTTTTGTCTCTTTCCAATCAATGTGCAGAATCTGTGCCTGGTATGGAACAGTAAATATTTATGTAGAGAGAGAGAGGGCAATTCCTACTGAGTAGTACCAAATGTCACTTGTATAAAGTACAGTCGGAAAAAGCCATGCAGCTGGTAGTCAGATGGTTTAAGTGAAGAGGATGCTGCAGCATCAAAGGCAGCGTGATTTTTACTATTACTCCATCTCGTTTCAAGGTGCCTTCAACTTCACCAAAATGTCCTAGTAATTTAAGTATTGTCTCTGAGATCAGCTTGTTAATAGATGTGGAATTTCTTTTGATGCCTTTATAAATTATTGTAATATTACTGAAAAATATGTATTATGGGTGGTTTTTTTAACCTTTCCTTCTAGTGTATCGGCTAATGCCACCAGAATAGGTCACCTCAACGACAGACGCTTCTCCGAGAAACTGACCTTGTGAGGCAGGAAAGAGGGTAAATGTCTTCTGCTTCTCCCAGGAAAGGAGCTATGGCTGTGACTGGGAAAAAAACCTGAACAAGAGCAAATTCCCCGTAGCCTTCCCCTGTCTGCGAGGCTGGCCGCAGCCCATGAGTGCCCATGGGGCTCAGAATTGACTGGACTGGAAAGCTAATCCAGGGAATAAACAAAGCTTTATTCAATGAGGCTTAACTCCCCCATTCAACGGCTGCCGCCGTTGCTCCCAGAGGAACTGCGTGTCGAGGCCAGGGGTTGAGTTAGCTTTTGGTGTGATTTCTACCACTGCAGTGCAGGCAGCACAAAACATCCGCGACTGGAACAGCAGTGTCTGATCGGCTGGGAGAAAGGCATCATTGCCATTAACCATATGCTGCACAACCATCAGGAAGTTAGCGCCTCTCCTCCTTAATGCTGTGCCCGTTTCACAGTGTCAGGAGCTGAAGGACCTGCCAGAGGTTCCCCAGGACGCCTTATACCTCCTCTCCACCTGAAGCTGGCTGGTGCTTGGGTAACAAGACTTGTGCAAGCGCTCAGCTCTGGCTGTGAAGTTCACCCTCAGTGATACTCGGCACCTGGGGCATCCTGCACTCAGTCACGCACATCTCCAGCTTTGGTCCCGTACAAGTACTGATGCCACCAGCCCAAGAACTGGCCTCTTGTGAGAATTGTTAGTCACCATTCAGTGTTCCCCAGGGAAGACTACCATGAAACCTGCAGTAGTTACCTGACGCAAGTAAAGATTATTTCCAAAGCCCCACCTTTAGACTTCTCTAACACATTAAAGGCAAACCTTTCACCTCTATTTATTTAACTAAAATAAAACCATTTCAA